CCAGCCTGACCTACATAGTGAGACCCTGTCTCAAAAAGAGAAAACAAACAAAAACCAAATACCATGATGGAGAGGGAAAAAAAAAAAAAAACCCCACCATAATGAAACCCAATACTATGTAAAATTAATAGGTGCTAATTAAATGTATTAAAAAGTAGTTGGAGCACATATCAGGAATATCTACAGGCAAGTCCTTTACCTCTGAGCTAACAGCCTAGCCTGTGAAGGTCATTTAGGGGTCTAGAAAGGAAAGCCCAGCTTGACCTTGAAAAGTACCTGGGTCTAATAAACACCAGAGTCAGAGAAGACGAGAAATGCTCTAAGCTCTTGATGATACAGGGTGTCACTAGTTAGATGGAACCTTCCCTCTTGTCTGATCTTTCTGTCTTTTTTTAAATTTTTCTTTAGTATAGAACAATGACTCACTTGAATGGCACCTTTGGCATTTCTGTGGGAATTAAAGAAAATGATCTTTTTTCCCCTGACTGTTTAAGGCAGTGCTTCACAAACTTTTCTGATGTTTGACCGTGAACCACAGTGAGAAATAGGCTTTACATGGACTTAGTACATGCAGATATAATTATGTAACTAAAACCAAGCTTCATGAGACACAATCCACCTGTATCTTCTGTGGGTAATCTGATATTTGCTATTCTATTTTTTAAAAAAAATTTATTTTTAAGGAAAGGCTAGTTGGCTTCCACCATTGATTCCACAACCATGACCATGCTTCAGAACTGCAGCTGGAAAGACACTGGGTTGCAGGACTCTTTTCCGGGAGGCCACCCTCCCTTTAGTGGCTGGAATCTTCCAGGAGAATGATGAGTGGGGAACTTTCTGAGGATCCCTGCAGGAGAGCTTAACCCCTGCTGCAGGCTTCTCTCAGAGTGAGCACCTTTAGCCTTGGGAGGGAGTTTAGATGACACCTATTGCTTGTGAGATTCCCAGATTCAAATAACAATAATGATCAAGCTACAGACTGAACAGCCCTAAGCTGATGAAGAGCAAACCGTTTCAGAAGTTGGACCATTCGGGATATGAATGTTCCAAAATTTGATGCACTCTAAAATCTGAACAATTCTGCCCCAGGCATTTTTGGAGAAGGGACTTCAACTTGAAAATGGGCACTTAAAGAATCAGGTGTCCTGCACACGTTATTAACATAAGGTTCATAATGATGCTCCGAGAAAGACATTATTACCTCTGTTTTACAGAGGGTGATACAGGGGAAGAAACTCCCAACCTACCAGATGTCCAGAATGAGTTTGTGTTCTCTAAAAATCAAAGATTGAGTTTTAGGAGCAACGGAGGTTAAGAGCAGAATATATTTATTGAGAGAAAGAAAGCTTCTGTCTGACAGAGACAGAAGGGGTCCCCAGTGAGTTGCCAAGAACCCCATCTTTTCTAGGGACTTTTATAGAGCAAAACCATGAGGTGAAGCAGGTCAAAGGTGGGAAAAACTGGGAACTCACAAGGCAGGCATGAGGTGGGAGATTGAGGAAATCGGGATTCAAAAGGGAATCGAGTCCCATAGCAAGTGGGTTATGGGCTTTGTCTGTAGGGGGCTGGGTTAGTGGCTTCTGGCCTCCTCAGGGTGGTGGGCACCTATTGAGAATATTAATCCCTGAGGTTTGCCTTTAGGGTATGGCTGCATTTGTTTTCTCTTTTGGCTTGAGATCTGGCCTGCAGACAGAGGTGTTCGCCATCGTTGTAAGGTATCTGGTCTTCTGCTCTGACTCCTTTGAGGGCCCAGCCCTGTCTGACTGCCTGTAATATTCTAATTTAGCTGTCCATAACATGAGACACGGCAAGGCTAGGAGAGAAACATGCCCATGACATGCAGCTAGTAAACAGTGGACTCAAACTCCATTGGTTTGCAGACTGCGGGTGCTTAATTAACAAACACTAGTGGGAAGCTTCTTTAAAAAAGTTGGGTTAGCCAGGCATGATTGGGTAGGCCTGGAATCCCAGTACTCAAGTGGTTGAGGCAGGAAGATTGCTGTAAGTTTGAGGCCAGTCTGAGCTACACTGGGAGACTCTGTCTCAAAAAACAAAATGCAACAAAACACACAGCACAACACAAAGCAAAATGAAACAAACCAGTATTGGAGAAGTGAGGTGCTATTGTCCTTGACCCCCTGGGCTGTGGGCCACACCTGTTAGGTATGTGGTATCTCCTCGCAAGGTTTGGTTCTATGTACAGCTTCCCTCAGTGGGTTTACAAGTTTCTTGGAAATATTCAAATATCTCACCTGCTTTCAAGAAGTGGAAACACATGCTAGGTGTGGTGATACACGGCTGTAATCTCAGCACTAGGGAGGCTGAGGCAGGAGGGTAGCTGTGAGTTTCAGACGGATTTGGGCTCCACAGTGAGTTCAAGGCCAGCCTGAACTACATAGTGAGAACTTATCTCAAAAACAAACAAACAACCGGCAAATGGACAAAAAGAAAAACACAACTGGAGGCAGAAGAGGAGAAGACTAGTGGGAGAGGCATGGGCTTCCTGGGCTGGGCTGGAAAAGGCTGTCTAGGGGTCACTGTCCAGGCCCTGGTCACCAGGCAGCCCATCACCTGGCCACACCTCCCAGCTAACTTCTCATTAGCATCTTTTCTTTTTCGGTATGAGGGATGAAGCTATAATGTTTGCACCAAGCTGCACCCCCAGCTCTTTTTAAAAATTATTTTTAAAAACTTGGTGAGGCAGAATTTCACTAAATCAGGAAGTTGCCCAGACTTGGTTTGCATCTGTGATCCTCCTGCCTCAGCCTCAAAGAGTGCTGGGATTACAGGCAGGCACCTCCACACCCACCCATTTCCTTTTTTACCTATGCAGCCCAGCGGCTCCCAAGGGTAACGCTTCCCAAGCAGCCTGGTGGTATTGTTCCTCTACTCATCTCCTGGCCCCACCCAGGTCTAGGGAATGAAGTCCTCGCTCATCGATGCCCTCCCAGATCGCAGCTGCCTCACCCGCTGGTTCATACTATATGCCTTCCACGAGACTCATTCATTCACTTAAAAACTGTTTCTCAGATGTCAGTGAACATGGAAATTCTGTGACAGTGAGTGAGAGCAGTGTCAACCCCAGATCCCCGCCTTTCACACTCAGTTTCTATGCAGCCCCAGGACTAAGCCCCAACCGCTGCTGCCATTTGGAGACAGGGTCTCACCAAGTAGTCCATCCTGGCCTTGAACTCACTAGTACTCTGGACTGGTTTCAAACTTATGGCCCTCCTGCCTCCGCCTACCAGCTGCTGGGAGAGGCTTCGTGTGATGGCACCATAAGGATCACTGTGAGTTTAGGGCCAGCCTGGGCTCCAAAGTGAGTTCAAGACCAGTCTGAACTGCACAGTGAAACTCCTGTCTCAAAAAGACAAAACCAACCAACCAAAAAACTCTCTCCCCAAAATGAGTGTGGTGCGCCTGGTGTGTGTGATCTCTCCATTTTAACACAGTGACTCCTGGGTGTGGTGGGGGCCACCGAGTTGTGTGTTCTCTGGTGAACCCTTAGAAGTGAGCCAGCCCATCCCTCAATTGACTATATTTAATAAGTACCAGTTAGAAACTAAAGACCGGCTGGGTGTGGTGATGTTGCCTGGAATCCTGCACTTGGGAGATCTGAAGCAGGAGGATTGTCCTGAGTTGAGGCCATTCTGGGCTACACAGTGAATTAGAGGGAAATCTGGTCTCAAGAAACCTAAAGAATAGAAATGAAAGACCCAAACTTTTTATTCATTTTGTACATGCCTCACCCAGTAGCTGCTTAGTAAATAGGTGATTCATAATGCTTTACAGGTTTGGAATTATTTCCAGATATAACCAAACAGAGAACAAACGCTTGCTTCTCAGTGTAACTGTGTGTTTCCGGCCCATGGTTCCACAAATGTCAAAGAACAAAGCTTCCAACCAGAGAAGGAAGTTAGGAAAGTTTTACCAGATATAAAGAGAAGGCCCTCAATTTAAAAGTACCTGTAGCCAAGCAGGATACAGGAGTGCCTATTTTTTTGTTTGTTTATTTTTTCGAGACAGGGTCCCGCCACATAGTTCACCCTGGCCTTGAACTCACAATTTGGCTGAGGCTGCCCTTGAACTCGGTGGTGATCCTCCCGCTCAGCCTTCTGAGGCCTAGATTAAAGGCATGTGCAATCGTGCCCGGAACTGCTTAATTCTTTAGAGATCATGTGTCACAGGTGGCTCTGTGGCTTTAAAATGACCAACTGAGACTCAGGCTCTCTAGACCAACCAGTTCTTTCCCAAGGTAAGTGGGATTTCAGAAGGAACTGGTTAATTCACATTATAATTTATTTGAAATTCGGAATTTTAGTAGGGAGGGGTTGCATTTCATGCTGCCTGAGGAATTCATTCTTTGCAGAAGTCCTAATTCACTGTTTTATTTTTTGAGACAGGGTCTATGTAATGCAGGCTGGCCTCAAACTCATGGAAGTTTTCCTGCCTCAGCTGGGATTACAGGTGTGTGCAGCCATGCCCTAGCTCACTGTTTATTCTTAATTTTTATCAGTACGGCTGGTCACTGCACTGTGTCTCAGGCCCTTCTACTAGCTGGCTGCCTTACTCAAACGGCTTACTAAATAAACTATCTTCTACACCAAAGTAGGCTCCCCACATCCAGTTCAAGGCATGAACTAAGAAAATATTCCTAAACTACGGGGAGGAATTTTGGATCCAGTACAAGATTCATCTCCACCCTTGTTTCAAAGAATAACCAAATATTTCTAAGCAAGGGGTAGGAATATTTTTTCTTCCAAAATTTAGCCATGAATTCTTGGAAGATTGTCAGCCCCAGAAGGCAGACTGGAAACGATTTTTAATGCCTTTAACAGAGCAGGTTATTCCTTGAAGTAATCACTGCCGCACCGCGCATGTCCCGAGGCTGCCCGAGGTGACATCTGGGGGTGGCGTTAACCTGGCTGGAGCGCACAGCACAAGCTGGGCTTGCTCAGGCCTGAGCTCCTCCAGCTGAACGGGTCTCTGCGTTAACTGCTTCTGCCTGGAGAATCCTGAGACCGTTAGTTAGACCTTGTGTAGTAAAATCAGAATAAAATAATTTAAATGACTTTCTGCTACGTGGCCCTTTCAGTGGTAAGAGCAGCCATGGACCTGCGTGGGAGACACGCAGGGAATGGGCTGCATTAGGAGAGAGAATGCTCTCATCTGAACCTACTTAGGGCTGAGGCTCCCCTCGCCAGCTCACTCCTATAAATGCGACTCGGCCTCTCTTCCAAGCTCCCCCATCCGTTGGCTCCAGATCTGCAGCTTTTATTTGACTGGAGGTAAGGTATTGCCTTTCCTCTCTTGTGCTGCTGGGCTTTGGCAGCCGCAGGGTTTAGAGCCCACTCAAAGGCAGCGTTTTCACTTGAGGACAAGTTGGAGTCGCCTGGGAAGTTAAAAAACCTTGGCAAGCCGGTGTGGTGGTGCACGCCTGTAATCCCAGCATTGGGGAGGCTGAGGCAGGCGGTTCGTTGCAAGTTTGAGGCAAAGTGAGTTCAAGTCCAGCCTGAACTGCATAGTGAGACCCTATCTCAGAAAAAAAAAAAAAAAAAAAAAAGGACAGAAACAAAAAAACAAAACAAAATAATATCCTTTGACACCTGAAGCCTGCCTCTGGAGATTCTGAATTACGCAGTTGAGGGCACATCCTTAAAAATCTTCCAAGTATTTAAAATGTGCTGTAGTTGAACAGTTGGATCCAGCCTTTGTTCTTTGTTTAAATAGTCCACCACTGCTCAGGATTGACTGTATTGTGTGGTGCTAGAGATTGAACCCAGGGCCTTTGCACTGAGGTACGTTCCCAGCATTTTTGGGTGGGTGGTGATGATTTGAGACGGGGTCTTACTGTGTAGCCCCATCTGGCCCCAGTATTTCATGATCTTTTCTTAGTCTCTCAAATGCTGGAGTTATAGGGGTGTGCCACCCCACCCAGCTCTTGTTTTTTGGATTGTTGCTGGAGAGAGACAAAAGTTTACATTTTACAAGCTGTGAGTTCAAGGTCAGCCTAGGCTACAGAGCAAGGCCCTGTCTCACAAAACCAACCAAGCAAACAAGGACCTGCTGTCCATCTTGCCTGCTGGATGGGACAGTTATGAACCTGGGGAGGACTGTAGTGGTGGCGATACTGGGAGAGTTTTGTCAAGCAGGATCCCCAGCAGCTAAGGTGGCCTCAGGCAGGACACAGGGCGAGGAGCAGTGGGGACAGGGCAAGGTGACACCCATGCAGCTCTGGCTGGGTGTTGCCATATGAGTCTTTTCTTGATGTTCCAGAACTCTTCCATGTGTGTGTGTGTGTGTGTGTGTGTGTGTGTGTGTGTGTGTGTGTTGAAGATGCACAGTTAAGACACATGTGCAAGAACATTGTTTGCCAAGAACATTTGAAAATCAGACTCATGGAGCATCGTTTTGCGAATTAAAAAACTCTACAGAGATGAGCTCTGTTTAAAATTAAGTTTTTATTTTCTGTAGCAGGTATCTCCCTTTCTGTATCTTATTTTTATTCTCAAAGGTTTGTCACTCTCTTGACTACTTGGCTAGAGAGGAAGAGGAACTGCAGAACACGTTATTTTATTCTTTTGGAGTTTCCAAAGCTTCAAGCTTCAAGGAATTCAGACGCTAAAGCAGGGAAGGTGGTCATCAAAGCTAAATTTGAGCCAGGCACGGGAGGACGCGCCTAGAATTTCAGCCCTCACACACTGGAAAGGCCGAGACGGGAGATTGCTGTGAGCTCAAGGCCAGCCTGGAGCACACAGTGAGTCTCTGTCTCAAAGACAAAACAAAGCTAAGCTTGAAGGCTTAGCTGCTTTATTATATACTTTTTTAAAATCTATTTTATTTTAAAGAGAAAAGATAAAGCAAAATTTCAAAACATGGTAACTAGAGGGTAACAGTGCTATATACATTATGTATTGTAGTTATATCTATATGCATATGCATATATTGTTTCAGTTTCTCACACTAGTGAGACAATATGATGATTACAGATGTGTGTCTGATTTATTTTACTTATGAGTATGGTCTCAGGTTGTATCTGTTTACCTATAAAAGTCTCAAGTTTATTCTTCTTGACGGCTGAGTAGTACTTCATTGTGTAGAAATACCACATCTTTTTTATCTATTCCTCAGTCAATGGGCATTTAGATTGTTTCCAAGGTTTAGCTTTTAAAAATTGTGCCACTATAAACATGGTGCATATATATTGTTGTGTATGATGTTTTTAATTCTTTTGGGAAGATACCCAGAAGGGGAATAGCTGGTTCAAATGGGACCTTTAGTTCTAGTATTTGAGGAATCTCCACACTGGTTTCCACAGTGGTTGCACCAGTCTATACTCCCACCAACAGTGGAGAAGGGTTCTTTTTTCCTCACAGCCCCTCAAGTGTTTGTTATTGGTTGATTTCTTGATAAAAACTATTTTTTTCTGGGGATGAGGTGGAGTTTAATTCACATCTCTCGAATGACCAGTGATGTTGAACATTTTTCCATGTTTATTTGCTCTGTGTTTTTCTTCATCTGAGAAGTGTATATTCATCTCAGATGCCCATTTTTCAACTGAGTGTTTAAATCTGGGAGGACTAATTTTTTTGAGTTCTTTATATGTTCTCAATAGTAATCCTTTATATGAGGAACAGCTGGCAAACATTTTGTTCCACATTGTCAGTTGTCTCTATTGGTGGTTTCTCTTGCTGTGAAAAAGTATTTCAATAAGATGAGATCCCAGTTGTTGATTCTTTGTGATAGTTTGTGTGTAGCTGGGGTTTTGTTCAGAAAGTCTTTGCCTATTCCAGTGTCTTCAAGAGTTTCACTTACTCTGTCTTCCAGTGAATTTAATGTTTCGTTTTCAGTATTTAGATCTTTGATCCATTTCAAAGATTCATTTTCAGTATTTAGATCTTTGATCCATTTAATTTAGTGCATGGTAAAAGATAGGGGTCCAAGTTTAATCTTTGGTATGTACAGAGCCAGTTTTTCCTAGCACCATTTATTAAAGAGGCTATGTTTGTTTCAGTGAATGTGTTTGTTAAAGATAAGGTGGCTTAGTGTGATTGATGTTGTTTCTGCATCTTCTAATCTGTTCCATTGATCTTTGGGTCTGGTTTTTCTTTTTTGCCAGTAGCACACTGTTTTTTATCACAGTAGCTTTATAGTATAATTTCAAGTCAGGGATTGTGATGCCCCCTGTCTTGTCTTTGTTTCTCAGGATTGCCTTTGCTATTCTAGGTCTCTTCTAGTTCCAGATGAATTTTAGGATTGTTTTCTCTAATTTTCTGAGCTGTATTATTGAAATTTTGATTGGATATTATGTATTTTTTAGGCTCAGGAAAACTCCAGACTCAGCTGGTCAGCCATGGTTGGAGTCCAGAGGTTTGTTTGGAGCCAGAATAGGGAGGCCGTGTTGTGATGAAGGTCCTGACATACAGCAGCCCTATTGGGTGCGTAAGGAGCTGAGAGTAGTGGTGCATGCCTGTCATCCAAAGTCCTGAGGCAGCTGAGACAGCGAGATTGTGAGTTCAAGGCCGGCCTGGGCAATTGAGTAAGCCCTTGTTTCAAAATAAAAGTGACTGAGGGAGTAGCTCTGGGGTAGAGTGCTTGCCTACCTAGAATTGGCAAGGCTCCGGGTTCATTCTTAGCACCAGAGAAACAAAACAAACCAGAACACACACACACACACAATTTAGCATCAGGTAGAGTGTATACACTGAGGGGCTGGAGGGCAGCCTTAAGGAGCCTGGACATCTAGAAATTGTCGAGAGAGAAGTTGTTGTAAGAGTCAGCTGAAGGAAGCCTGCTTGGGCTCCTTGCTGGGCAAGGTGGCATGTGCCTGTAATTCCAGCACTCTGGAGGCTGAGGCAGGAGGGTCACTGACCAGCCTATGTTACATGGTGAATTCAAGGCCAGGCAGAACAATACGGCAAGACCCTCTTTTCAAAAACTAAAATAAAATAGACTCCTAATCCTGTAATCCCAGGAGGCAGAAGCAGGTGGATTGCCTTGAGTTTGAGTCCAGCTTGAACTACATAATGAGACCTGTCTTAAATTAATAAATACATAATAAAAAATAAGAGGCCCCTAGAAGCTGCGAGCTATGGGGATGAAATTTAGGCTGTGGAAACACTCCTAATGCTGCCTCCTTATTTTTAGGACTTTAGGATATTCCGGAGAGAAAGAAAATCAGAGGAAAGGGGAAAAGCCATCATCTGGACACAAACATCCTTCTAAAGTCCAGACACACCAAGGGATGCCATGTGACACCCAGGGCGCTATGCTGATTTATGCGGGTGCCACCACGCAGAGCTGTTTGTTTTCTTACCCTTTCTTAACAAGAATCCTCGGTCCCTGCCTTCCTCACTGTGCCAGGAAAGCAGCTTGTGACACCCACTGAGGTGTGGGGAGCAGAACTCCCCACACAAGCATCCCAAGTGGGAGGGGAGCCCCGTTTCTTTAGGCTTGGGTCATGGTAGCAGCTCAGCCTCTGCAAATAAACAGAAAACAGATCCGAGAGCTATGGCAGATCCTTCCACAGAGCTACGCCGTTCGTGTGTCGGAGGCAGGCCTGTGTGCCGGGTGGATCCAGTTTCTTTGGGTTTCCTTAAAGTAGGACACATCTTTTTCCTATCAGGCCTTCTCCCCCAGACGCAGCCAGTTTGGAATGAATGAACTGGAGCCATTGCTGATGTCATCTTTCACAGGACCCGCCTGCTTTTCCGGGTTGTGCTGGAAGTTGGTAGCCTGCTTGCGTACCAGAGTGGGAAGGGAACGTTGGTGTTTTCTGTTCTCATCAGGTTGTGGACAGGCAGCAGAAGGCCAGGGCCTCCAGTGGTGGCTCGATGACATTTCAGCATCGGCCAACTTCTAATTATGCTTCTTTCTTCTCCACAGAACCTCACCAGGGCTCTGAGCCTCCCCGCTGTGGCTTGGAAGCTACCCTCACCTCCAGCCCCAGGGCAGATCCTGTGTCCTGGATGGTCTGTGCCAGTCCGTGGCATTCTCTTGGCAAGGCTGGTGAACCCCTGGTGAGTCCATGACTTAGGCTGGCCCAGTCTGATTGAGGGGAGGACTCACATGTCATTCCCGGGGAGAAAGCGCTTTGTTGGGCTTGTGCATAATCTACAGTTCTTCCAGGAGGCCTCTGGCCATGCAGGTGTCTGAGAGATCCACCTCTAGGTACAGCATCCCTCTACTGCCATGCCCAAAGACTTTGCAGGGCCCAGCTGCTCACCTGGACATTTAGGTAGAGTGACCTTTTCTAACATCTTAGGCTGAGCAGAGTTGGTGATTGGCTGCAGAAAGGCACCAAGTAATCTCTGTGGCTTGGTCCTTGGTGACTGGGCTTTATTTGAGTCTCCAGGGATACACATGACTGAAGAGACAGAGGAGGAAGAGATTATCTGAGACAGAGAAGATATTTTAGTTGCAAAGTACATTATGATGCAACTCAAGTTGCCTAAATACTAAAACAAAACAAAACAACCCCACCCATTAAAACTAGGGCTAAGATCACTAAGACTAAACTCAAAACTACAGACCGTCAACCAAGCTTAATGCCTTCATCTGTACGCCCTTGCTAGTACTGGATCAGTGTCACTTGAGCCGCTGTACTTGTGATCTTACTGGTTAATCATCATTTTGAGCCACATTGTACTGACCATACGTGTATCAAACTTCCTTTGCAAAGTGGGGTTGTTGGCAACCCATTGGGGACCCTTCCTGTCTCTCAGGCGCTAGTCCTATTCCCCATTCTCTTTCTCAATAAATTTTCCTACTCTTAAAATACAAGTAGTAAAAATATACATAGGTTCCGGCTAGGGGTATGGAGTACAGGCTTAGTGTGTGTGAAGTCCTGGATCCCAGGCTTAGCCCCGGGGTGGAAGAGGAAAGTACTGGGCATGTGACTCCGCCAGAGGTTTGTGTAAGGTCAGCAGGCTCTGCCTGCAACTGTAGCTCCAACAGACCTTTTCCCGAGCTCCAGGCGGGTGGAGACGAGGTGGGCGCCCTCCTGTCTCTGCTTCCCTCACCAGTGCGCTCCAGGCTCATTCTGAACCAGCCGGTAAAGTGGTGCCTAGCCAGGCCTGGGTAGTTCCTGTCTCCATCTCATGCTGATGAGCTTAGGCTGAGACTGACACCAGTTCCCTGAGAAAAATCCCTGATCACTTACCCGGAGACAGGCAAGCAGGGGCTGGCCGGCCAGCTCAGTACAGATAAGCTTTTCTAAATGGGGGGGGGGGGGCATTTTTTTTTTTTTCCTCTGCTATTGTGCAAAGAGCAGAGAATTTGAGGCCTGGCTGATATTTCTCCTCAGCTGTTACATGAGAGAGAAAACCTGCTTCTGATTCAGCTCTTGTCTTGTTGAGGTTTGAATGACACCCCATGTAGGAAAGTCCTCTGATGTGAGGCGCCACCACTTGGGAAGCTGAGGCAGGAGGATCACCACGAGTTCAAAGCTGTTTTAGTTTTTTCTTCTACTTTTTTTTTTCTCTTTGAAATCAATTGGATTAAAAAAGCAAAAAACAAAGCTGACTTGGGCTACATAGTGAGCTCAAGACCAGCCTGAGCTACATAGTGAGCTGCTGTCTCAGCAAAACCAAGACAGAACACAACAAAACAAAATAAAAATGTGAAGGGCTAAACAGAATTGAGGAATTGTTGCTATTGTTATTGTTACTATTATGATCTTTTCTGAATGTCTCCTGCTCCGGCTTCAACAATGTAGCAAGGCCCTTTCATATAAGAGGAGAGAATTAATTTGGCACCAGCAGCTCCAATCTGGTGGGGGCTGCGGTTAAGCAGGCGTAGCCTCTTGGTTAGAATGGAAACAGACATCCCTCCACCTCTGGAGAGTGCAGTCCTGGGGAGCTCAGCATAGCAACTGGGTAGCATCTTTGTGTAAAGAAAAAGTTCCTGCAGGCAGGCACCTGTGCGCTGATTAGCAGGCGCTGGAGTCTGCAGCTGCCTCTTCCTGACTGAGCAGTGGGGTGCAGTCGGGTCAACCCGCAGAGCTGTGCTCTGAGGTTCTGATCTTCCAGCCAGTGGAATTCTTGACGTCCTACTCCTCACTGGTCTGGCAAAGTTCTCGTGATCCTCCAGGACCCTGTGCTCATAGCAATGCCTCTGCCGAGGTTTCTCGCTCCTTGCTAAAGCAGTGGACTGCCTGCCTCTCTCAGCTAACTACAAGTGACCCTGGGTCTGCTCTCTGTCTGGGTGCCCCTGAGTATCACTCCAGCTACAAGGCAGAGAATCCCTCCTGTTTAACCGTGGTGATCAGTGAATTTGCAGAGGGCAGCTAACCCTTCTAAACCAACATGGCACGTGGGGTCACTGCCGCTGGACACTGCTGAAAAGCCAGATGCTCATTTCCCCAAAATGTCCAAGAGAGGCAGGGAAAGTGCCGTTCATCTAGATGGACCATCCCGATGGCCGTTCGGGCCCCTGGCCCAGCAGCCCTAGAAGGGAATTCTGCGAATCAGATCCAGGCGGCCCTGAAAACCAAGGGTGTGTGGTGGCAACCTTTGTGCTACGCTGCACCCGGGATTTAGGTTCTTAAAAGACCTCTGACTCTTTCGTGACAGAGCCACAGGTCGAGCCGAAAGTCACTTGCAGTGTTATGTGGTGACAGCTGTCCCTTTCACTTCATCCTTGGGCTCTTTTGGGTCATGTGACATTGCACAGCTATGAAAGAAACTTTGCGAAATGATTGTAGCCAGCACCAGCCAGTCAGGACATCTGCACTGGCCATTTATGTATGTATGTATTTATTTAAATGAGATCCTACTGTTTCCCAAGCTGTTTTTAAACTTTTGGATTCAAGTAATCCTCCTGCCTCAGCCTCCCAAGTAGCTAGGACTACAAGTATGTGCTCCTGCCCCAGGTCTCAATTTAGAGGTTTCTTTTGCCTAGAAAAAAAATAGAAAAAGAAAAAAATAGCAGTATCTGGTTAATACTGCTATTACTAGTACCCTACCTGTCTTCTTTACACCAAAAATAGTTTTTCTGCTGCCTTGGCTTCCACGTCCTGTGTACTTGCTTTTACTTCCTTCCAGGTGACTGGTTCATCTGCTTGCCCGCCCCATGCCCTTCCCCCTGTTGTGGTACCATGGATTAAACCCAAAGACTTTGAACAGAGTTATATCCCCAGCCCTTAATTTTATTTATTTTTTGTTCATTTAGAAACAGAGTCTCACCAAGTTGCTGAGTTGCCTAGGCTGGCCTTGAACTTGTGATCCTTCTGCCTCGGCCTCCCAGAGTACTAGGATTAAAGGTGCACACCTGCCTCTTTTTATACCCCTAGGGTCCCAGCCTGTGGGAGGCGCAGCAGGAGGCGGGCAGGTGAGAGGGTGGAGAGATGCGTTGCTCCCTGTGACCTTCATTGCAGGGGTGCCGTGGCCTCCAGCCCTCACGGGAGGGGAGGGACTCGTCTACAGCTCCAGAATTGCTGCTCTCTCTCCTGGCCCTTCAGGCAGGAGGAACCTGGACAAGGAACCGGGGTCTCATTACCTCCCTGGCTCTCAGCACCGCCTATAGCATGCACAGCCCCTTCACTAAATTCCCGTGGGCTCTGCCTTTGGCGTGGCCGTCTGTCTCCTGCCCAGAGGCCAAGTGACACCGCTGTGCTCGTCTTTCTTTGGTGCTGGCGAGTGCTTCCTGTTGTAGCTTGGCATAACTGACGCCATCCTGAGCCCTGCATTTAACTAGTGCCCTGTATTTGACTGAGAAAAATGGAAAACTACTCAGGATATAAGTCCCATGAGCAAAGCAGAATGAGCTGTAGTACCTACGGGAGAAAAATTAACCTGCTCAACAAAAGAAGTAGGATATAGGTGTCCACCAAAAGTTAATGAAAGATTCGAGCTAAATTATTTCTAACAGAATGTCATTTGTGGTCCTCTCTTTTAAAAACTGTAACTTTACAGTTCGGGGCCACTTGTTTGGACCCTGAACCAGGAGGGTCTGTATACGAGTGGTTCTGAGCTCAGTTAATTAAATTCCAAATTTATCAATTTGGCTGCTTGGATTCCTATATTGTTGTTCATGAACCCTTCTCAGTTCCCTGAGGGGACATGGGGCGTCCAGAATGGCACCCAAGATGGCTTCCAGCTGCACCGTCTCCTCGGCCCTTCTGCCCGAGTCATTTCCTTCTCTTCTCTCTGCTTCTTTAGTCTCCTAGATGCAGCCTTCGCCCCCCTTTCCTGCCACCTCTCCTCCCACTCCCTAACAAGCACCGTCCTGGTTGCCTTCCCGTCACAGCCACATAGCACCTGACACCCGCAGTTTAAGGGAGCAAAAGTTTATTTTGCCTTTCCGGAGCAGGAAGGGAGTGTGGATGGGTCTGGGGGAGAGAAGCCATTGGTGTGGTGGCAGCTGGGAAGCAGAGAGACAGGAGAAGCCGGGTCAGGCCCTCAGCGACCCCTTCAGCCAACCACCTCCTAACAGGGCGTCAGCCACAGAGTCACCCCTGGATTAGTCCACTCACGAGTGTGGCGCCCCCACAGTCTGATCACCTTCATCTGAGACTTTGGAGGAGGTCCCAGATCCAAACCCTGAGAAGCTCTGTCACAATGGGGCTCTCCTTCCGTACATCCTGCCCCATTTGAAACACACACATGAAAAACCGTAAACACAGACATTGCTAAAACGCTTGCAGCAAACACGTGTAGCAGTCTCAGCTTGGCAGAGGTGGCTTGGGATGTGTCTACAGATCCTCTTGCTGACCTGTCCATCCTTCTCTGGCATGCTCCGAGCTCTGGGACTCAGTGCCCTCCGTGCATCAAAGGTTTCACACGTGCTCCAGCTGGCTGTTGGCTTTAGCTAGTTAGGAAGCCCTGGAGAAGGGAGAGGAGGCAGGGGGCGGGGGCGTTTGTTACTCATCCAGATGGGCAGGCATTGCTGTGTGCTTTCTCCAGAGACTGTGGGGCCTCTCCTAGGTCTGCAGTAACTCTGCCTCTTCAGGCCTACAGATGATGGCGCCTCTCTACTTCCAGCCCGAGGGGAGGTTCTCCTGTCTGTAGCACTCTTCTAGGTGACCCCGTCTTGAGGCTGTCATCTGCTTCTCCATGAGGCCATTCCCCTTGTTTCCACTCATCACCTCAGAGGAAACCTGCACCAGTAATTGGTCACCTCACACTGTCTCCCTCTGGCCCCTTCGACCACTCACCCGTCTGACCTCCTCTATGAGCTGCCCCTCCCGGAGCTTCTCATCAGCCCTTTGTGGGATGTGTGGTCTTGCTTTGCCTTTAAAACCCGCTGCTGTCTCAAGTGTCCTTGTGACCTGCGGAGGCCCCCTGCAGTGCCATGCCAAGTGGTGGCAGTGCTGTCCCCCAGGACCTCTGCACTCACTTCTCTTCTTCCTGGCCCAAGAGGAGCCCAGCGCCCGCTGCTTCAGCAGGGCCAGGTTGCCAGGCTCCCTCTCTCCCTGAAGCTCAGGCTCCAGGGGGGCCCCTCGCAGGTCCTGATGCTAGAAGTGGTAGCCACAGTGCTGTGGGACCAGATGGGGCCAAAAGCAAGGTGCACCCCAGCTGCCCAGAGTGGAGGGAGCCAGTACCCACCCCTGAGCTGTCTCTGCCAGGAGAGAGGCCCCTGCAGCTCCAGGTGAGACCTTTACAGTGGAACCTTGGTGAACACTGCTGGGGAGCACGGAATCTGACCTAGTTTTTACTTTTTCTGTGTTCTCTACAATTTGGTTCTTTAGCTGCTGCTGTTTGCAGCTATGGGCCCAAGTGCCAGGTATACTGTGACAAGAAGGACCCTGTTGGGCTTCTTTCTTGGCTGTACTTGGGATTGAACCCTGGACCTTGAGATTCAGTCAGGGACTTTGCACTGGGCTGCATCTGCATCCCTTTAAAAAAAATTAGTTATTTTTTATGGGACAGGATCTTGCTAAATTGCTAAGTTGTCCAGGGTGTATTCCAAGTCATGATCTTCCTGCTTCAGCCTCCCATAATGCTAGGATTACTGGTTTGGCCACCGTGCCTGGTTTTCTCTTCCTGAGCATCGTTTTGATGATGTTTCTTCCCTGTTCAATGACTTTTCAGGCCCGTATTATGGAGAAGATGACTCCCCATCTCTTGTCCTGTCATTGTTCTCTGAGAAGTAGCTGCCCTTAGCTTCCCAGCTTTCTCAGTCAGCACCCAAGCAGTCTCTGTTCCTCTCAGGCTGGCCTGCCACTCCCCAATCCCCACCAGGCTGGGCTGGGGTTGGGTGGGGCCCCTCCTGGCCCCACTTTCTGGACTGCTGTCTGCTGGGAGGCACTGTCTGTTCATGACTTCCCCTCACAGGCTCTGCACCCGTGGTCACGTGACTATAGTGGCTGGTGACATTGTCATGAGGTTCTGTCTCATCCTGTGCTGGTAGCAGAACTGATTGCAAGATGACCGATCAATGGATCAAAGCTGGCCTGCTTAACCGAGAGCTGGACTACAGGGCCCAAGATACTCAGCTAGGGGTTCCTCCGACTGATTCAGGAGCCTTCTGTTGCTAGCCTGTGGGAAAGGAAAAGGAGACAGGTGGAAGAGTGCCATGCACTTGTAGGACAGGAAGGAGAGACAAGAATGAAGAGAAAAAGGCAGGAGGCAGCGACAGAGCCTTTGAGTCCAGGACTCCAGGAGCAGCCAGAGAACAGCCCAGACAGCACAGCCAGACTCACAACCTGCAAGGGAGGGAGAGATACAAGTCCAGATTTAGGGACTTCAGCTCTTGGATGGGTAGAGACTCCAAGCATCTTTGGTTTGTTTTTTGAGACAGGGTCATGCTGTTATGCAAAATGGTCTTGAACTTGCAATCCTCCTGCCTCAGCCTCCCAGGTGCTGGGATTACAGTCATGTACCATCATAGCTGACTTTTTTGGAGATAGGTTTGTGCTATGTACTCCATAGCTGGTCTCAAACTTATGACCCCTGCCTTGGCCTCCTAAATACTGAGATTATAGGTGTGTGCTGCTGAGGCCAGTTTTACTGAATAGAGGGACCCTGGTGAGGGGTTTTCACTGTTTTTCTGTTTTTTCCCACCCCAGGCCAGGCTATACAGCTACACCCCATCCTCATGCTGCCTGCCTGACAGATCATAAAGCAGCTCTAGGGCCAGACAATGTGGCACATGCCTGTAACCCCAGCTACTTGGGAGGCTGAGGCAGGAGGACACAAGATTGAGCCCGTGTTGGGCGATTTAGCCATTTAGCAAGACTGTGCCTTGAAATAAAAAGGGCTGGGGGAGCGTGGGCTGGTATCTCAGTGGTACTGCGCCCCTGATTTCAATCTCTAGCATAGTACATGCTGAAAAGGAAGCAGTCCAGGTTAGAGGTCTTCCCTGGTGACTCTGCTGTTAGATGCTGTGCTTGTCTGTCTGTCTTCTGTCTCTCTCTCTTCGGTATTTCTGGTTTAGTTTGTTTTCGGGGGAGGGGCTGGCTTTCCTTGGAGGAATGCCCCGGAGGGACAGGTCTGCTGCCGCCTCCCCAGAGCAGCTGACCTTTCTCACAGTGGCCTGGAAACACCCCTGCTGGAGTTCTGCTTGCTAAACAGGAAGAGGCTGTGTCTCCTTTTGGGCTCCTTATTAGGCCTTCATAAATCAGGTCCTCTAACAGCCTTGTTTTGAGGCATTCTAACTTTGCTCCCCTAGAAGTGAAGTCTGGTGTCACAGGTCTGATGGCGGCAGGCGAGTAATCCCAGTATCCTGGGAGGCTGAAGCAGGAGGATCTCAAGTTTGAGCCCCGTCTGGGAAGTTTAGGGACTTAAGACTGTCTCAATATAAAAAAGCTTAGTGTTTTCTGGGCTCCACCCCCAGTACTCGGGAGGTGTGTGTGTGTGTGTGTGTGTGTGAGATAAAGAGCTGTAACACTTGTGCTTCAGGTCAACAGCTGGTAGGGGCTGGAGCCGTGGGGGGAGCGCAGTGGGAGAGCGCATGCGCAGTGGGGACCAATTGTTTGTTTCCCAGCACTGCACATGCGCAAGACCAGAGCTCCTCATCACCTGCGGAATGAGTAAGTAATGCAGTCAGGGTGCCGTGCTTACTCCAGGGGTGCAAGCCTCGCCGCTCTCCCGTCCTGCCCTGAGGGTGGCCCGGGAGCTGAGGAGAAGGGAGGAACCTCTATAACCTACTACCTGCCGGAGGGTGCCTCTCTGAGCTGGTCCTGGGATGACTTTTCCTTTTACAGGGAGCTGTCTCTTCATAGCTTTCCAAGTCTCTAAGAATTTTTATTGTTTGATCTGGAAAGAGGAGATTCTAGATGATTCTTCACATGGCAGGAAGCCTGCAATGGCACCGTTAGGTATCGGTGGTGGGACCTGGCCCCACCCTGGTGTGAATGTGACTAATCCATTGTGTCCACTGAGCCTTGCTGGTGCCCACAGTAATTTTTTTGTTTTGTTTTTGGTTGGCACTAGTAATTGAACTCAGTGCCTTTACACAGAGGCAAATCCCCAGTGCATATTTTTAATTTCTTATTTTGAGACAAGCTCTCCCTAAATCAATAAAGCCAGGATGGATTCGAATTTGGGATCCTCCTGCCTCAGCCTTCCCAAGTGCTGGGATTACAGGCATGCTCCACCATGCCTGGCTGAAATAATCTTTTCAGCGCTGCTGTATGCAGCTACTGCCAACCAATCGAATGTGGCCAGTGAGATGAGATCTATTTGTGGTCCCTCTACTTAGTGCTTCCAGGAGTTAGCAGGAACCCTTGTTGGGATGAGATATGAGAAGACATGGACAGGCCACTAAAGTGGGCCGAAAAGTAGCAGAGGAGCTGGAAGTCCTATTTGGAGACTGAACCCAAATTTCCCCCCATCTCCTTACGTTCTCTGAATACTTTTGTTCTCTTGGTGAATGAACGGCTGAGCAAAAGTGCAGAGAGAAAGTTGCGTTGAAAGCCTCGATGGGAATTGCTGGTGGGTATGGAGATTTGAAGGGGAAAAAGCATTCAATTTGCAAAAGTGGAAGCTGTGGGGTTTCCAGAGTTCCTAAGGCCATTCAAGGCTTCAGGTCAACCAAGAACACAGAACTGGCAGAAAGACTGTCCTGAAGGGAAGTTGGGGTGGGAAGAGGACTCTGGTGTCCTGGATGAGGTTGAGGTCTGATAAGGAAACACAAAGTCCTGGGTACACGGGGGACTTGGTGATAGAGGGGACCTGACAGTAACGTGGGCGAGGTACAGAGGCTGTGGATAGGAAGGTTCTTAAAAAACATGACATTAGAAACATGGAGGGAACGCCAGGGATCTGGTGATCCAGGACCCCTTTCTGTGTTGACTTAGAGCCCTCAGGAGAGGGAATCCACAGAGATCCCAAATTTCCTGAGGTTTGATTCTGCCTCTGAGCACAGTGAGGGCTGAGAGGGAACTTGTGTTCAACACAGGACAGTGATGTGGAGTCCACTTGGGGCAGGTTTTTCTGGTACCCTATGCACTGCACATGGCCATCATCCAACTGTGAGGTGGTGCTTTCTGCCTGCCTCGGCCTCTGCTCCCCAGTATGCAATTGGTCAGTGTCCTTCAGGAAGGAACCACTGTCTCTGGGGAAGGTTCAGAGAGGGTCGTCTTGGGAGGTGAGGCAAGGTGGCAGTTCAGCATGTTGTCTGGTGTAGCTGTGACGTAGGGATTCTGGCCTAGCATGAGCACAGCTGGTGTGAGATACGAGGGGCTTTTTTTGAGGTGGGGGTTGTTGGGGATTGAGCCCCGGGCCTTCACACTGAGCTGCATACAGCCCCAGCTGTTTTTCACTTTTTTATTTTGAGGCAGGGAAGTTAGGTCACTGAACTACCCAGGCTGGACATAAGTGTGCAATCCTTCTGTCTCAGCCTCCCAGAATGTTGTGATTATAAGCACGTGCTACTATACTGTCTGAGAGACTTGATCAAAGCTAGCATTGGGGCTCAGAAAACAGTACCCCAGCCTCCTGGCCACATGCAGTAGCGCACACTTGTAAACCCAGCTACTGGGTATAAGAAACAAGATCTTCTCCATAAAAGGACATAAACAGGAGTGCCTCCATTTGTAAAGTCCACCTGGCACTCCTTACCCCAGAGTTGCAAAGAATGTCTACCTAGCCTAGGTGCCAGGAACATGGCTGACCACCCAAAACAGTGTATCACTTCAAAGACTTTCAGTCCTCATGCACCCACTCTCCGCTCCCTTAGCAACCTTGCCCATCGACTCCTAAGCCCCGCCCCACCCGCGCTTAAACTAGCCAATCAAGATAGACTGTGAACCTTCAAACCAGCCAATGGGGAGAAGGTCGGCTGCTTTTCCTGTGTTAGAGAATAAAAGGAGCTGGCTGCCATGGCTCTGTGCTTGCTGCCTCATGGTAAAATATGCTAGTTTCCTTCTGCAGGAGTAAAATAACCTTGCCCTGTGGAGATCTCTTAGTGTTTGAGCACTTTATTATCTGCACCAACAAATCAAGTCTAGGGTGCCCTCCCAGCATGGGGAAGCGGAGGATCATAAGTTTAAGGCCAGTCTGGGCAACTTAATGAGACTTTAATAAAATGTTTTTTATTTTATTAAAATAAAATAAAATAAATATAAATAAAATAAAATAATAAGATAGAAAAATCGGACTGAGAACAGAGTTCAGTGGTAGAACACCCTTATTTTCAATCTGCAGTTACACATACATGTATACACATTTACATATACACATTTGCACACACAGAAAAAGGAAAGGAAAGGAAAGAAAACAAATCCCCCAACCCTAAAATCTGGTGACTGAACCAAACTTTAGGAGAAATCTTAAGGGAAATCTCAAGCTTAGAGATGAAACTTCCTCTGCATGGCCCTAGTTTTGAACCTCTTTCTTTCCCAAGGGCAAGGTGAGGCTCCCTCAGATCCCCTCCTAGGTGAGATCCAGTTGTTCTGAGCTCACCAGGAGAGACTGAAGGTCCCCACTTCTAGGGCATCATGGCCAGGCAGACTTCTCTCTTCTTTGGAAGGCAGCTTCCAAGGGGTTACCTGGCTGACTCCATCTCCGGCAAAAGATGGCTCTGTTGTTTGTGTTCTGCTCTCCATCCTCCTTTTGGGGACCCCCTCACCTCACCCATCTCCACTCAAACTTCCGTCCTTCTCTGTAGCTGGGGAAGGGATTTAAAGCTGAGCCATCTGATACCTCCAGAGGCTCCTGCGTGGTATGTGGCTCCCACACTGTGAGTGTCCCCCTCTGTGCACGTTAATTAAGTTGTGTGTCTTTTCTGTTCCTCAATCTGTCTGCTGTCACTTTACTCTGGTGAAGCTTTAGGGGACCAAAGGGAAGTTTTCTTTTCCACTGCTACGTTGGCAAGGATGAAGGTCCGACCCAGTAGATTATTCATGAAGTCCTCGAGCCCTGTTAATTAGGGATGCCCCCTCCATCCCACAGAGACATATGGCCGTATCCAAACACGTACTGGTTTTCATGACTGGAGACCAGGCAGGGGGTGAGATGCTCTTGTCATGTGGCTGGATGCCAGAGATGCTGCTGACATCTTACAGTGCACAAGATGGCTCAAGATGCATGGCATTGGAGAGAAAAAAGCCACCATGACTCAGGGAAGATAGGATATACCTGGTGCTGGTCACAGACTAATAATACATTGGGTGGAAGTATAATTTTTTTCCCTGTGCTGCTGAGGAGTGAATCAGGGGCTTTGGGTATATAAGGCAAGTGCTCTATCACAGCGCTATGGAGATGTAAATATGCAAATTCAAAAAGTGTTTTTTTTTTTCCCTTTTTTTTTTGAGATAAGATCTTGTTATTTACCCCAGACCGGTCTCAAACTCCGTCTTCCTGCATTTCTGCTATTCAAGAGGCTGAGACAAGAGGATTACCTGTATCTTGAGGACAGCCTGGGTTACATAGTGAGTTCAAGTCTACCTGGACTAGATGGAGAGACCTGGTCTCAGAAAACAAATACGCATCACAGAAGGACTTCTCAGCTCTGCAACTCAGCAGCACTTGAGGTTGTACCCTGGAATTCCCCAAGTGCATAGGTGGAAATACTAATGTTAGTACTAGCATGGATCCTTGCTCTTGTGGTGACCTAAAATTTAGACTGAAACATGAATTTCCAGAAGAAATTTCAGTGTGAGGAGCCAACAGAGACCCAGCAGCCCTAGCTCCAGAGGATCTTTAGGGCTGCAAGGGCCAAAGACGTGACCTTTCCACAGGCCTGGAACCTGAGCCTGCTTTCAGTGTAGGTCAGCGTCTAGAGATGTCTGCCCTTGGTTGAGTATCCTGGTGCTCTCCCCTTCTTGGTGTCTTCTTGGAGGGGTGATGAGATTGTATAACTTCAGGGTTGATCAGTCTTGTGTTGTCGATTTTTAGACACATCTTAAAGACTTAGCGTACCTGTGTGCAGCGGAAACCAAAGGAAGGTCGAATTGTGCTCTGATTTTGGTTACCTATGAGGCATCTTCAGGCCAGAGGGAAGAATCACTGTTTATGATGTATTTATTTTTAATAATGAAATTATTATTAAAATAAATATTCTCCTAAGAAAACACAAATCATGCTTTTTCTGAGTAACAGGGTCAGGGCCCGGGGTTTTGTTTGTCCTCTGTTCCTGTGTCTGTCTCTGTGTCTCTGTATCACTACCCATCTAGTGATGGGTGTTAGTAGGAAGGCTTTGAGGAGAAGATTGAGTGCTAACGTGGGATTCCTGTCCTGGTTTGAGGTCCCCACAAGCTTATTTATGCCTCTGTCACATGAGGCCACAGGAAAGATGGTCACCTGTGGACCAGAGAGCTGACCCTCTCCAGATCCTGGACGTGCCAGCCTTGGGCTGGGATTTCCCAATCCCCTGACCGGGGAGAAATTAATTTCTGTTGTTTATGAGCCTGGGCAGTCTGTGGTATTTTGTTATATATTAGCTTGAGCTGGCTAAAACAGCTATCATGAGACAAAATTACAATAATTTACAGATCTTAATTGGCTTTATTATTGATTCTAACCCTTCATTCCATAAAAATGTAATTAATGTTCCAAAGAACAGAGCAGAAGAGCCTGATTTCACAGACACAGTTGGGCTGAAGAAAGCCGAAACCAAATCCAAGAGTGAATGGGTCTCTCCAAAGTTATTTTCCTCGAAGATGGGGATAAGGATATAAAACAAGAAGGAAATAACTTATCAGTTACGGTCACTTTATGTCCTGTTATTTCTTTTGTTCAGCATCAAAGCCAAGAGGGCCTCATTATCATGCAGACCGAAACTGTCCTGTTTGGGAAATGTGCCTATTATCTCTCTAATCCTAGTGTCCCAGAAGTCCAGATAAACAGCTTAATTTCAGCTTTACGATGTAGAATTTTAGCAGGAATGACTCCATTTTGATTTTTAACCTGGCTTGCTGGGGTCCAGTGCAGAATTTTAGTCCGAAGCAATAGCTTCCTGTAATTTTTATTTAACACAACCAGTGTGCAGTTTCACTGTGTGTGTGTGTGTTTGGGTGAGATGTGTCTGAACCCAGGGTCTTGTACACATTAAGCATGCACTGTACAACAGAGCTACACCCTCCTCCCCTGATGTATACTTCTTTAAATCTCCAAGAGGGAACACGTGGGGTTGGCATGCATTGAATATTCTTTGAGCACAGCCACATTAGTCACATTGTGCCCTGTGAAACATTAGGTTTAATACTAATTAACACGTTGGCCAGGTGTAGTGGTACATGCCTGTAATCCCAGTACTGGGGAGGCTGAGCCAGGAGGATTGCTCTGAGTTCAAGACCACTAGTACTTCACAAAAAAGGCTCTGCAGAGTGGGTCTTACAGTTCTCCAAAATAAATGGAAGTATTCCTTTGTGTAGATCAGAGGGCTGGGAAAATTGAGACACTTGTCCATTGCCACCCAGCCACCAGCTGGGGAGGGAGCTGCCGGGACCGGCATGGATCTCAGATCTATGTTCCTGTTTCATGGGTTCTGTGCTGCACCTCTGGCTCTGAGAACCTGAAATTAAGCCATATCCAAAGCATATTCTCTTTCTAGATGGCACTGACTTATACTTAGGGTTTCCTGGAGGAGCATTGTCCTGGGCCCACATGGATGGCTCAGTGGACAGATATTGGCTGTCTATAGTATCATGAAGCACGTTTCTTTTTATTACAGTTTTTTTCCCTTTAGGCAAGGTCTCATTATGTAGCCCAGGCTGGCCTCGAACACGTGGTGATCCTTTTGCCTCAGCCTCCTGAGTGTTGGGGTTATAGGCATGAACCACCACATATAGCCTTTATTACAATTCTTAACTAAACTTTGTTTCTCCTTTTAAAACTAAGAATTATATAATTATGTTGTTTTATTTTTTTCCTTGGTTGCCAGGAAGCGCAGATCCAAAATTTTCATCTTGTTCCACATCTCTGTGCCCTTCCCTCAGGGTTCCATTATTGTTTATTTCATGTGCTTTTATACCATTTGTTCATGTCCCCAAACTCCTGGTGGGGAGTATAAATCCTGGAGGGGATGTATAAATACATATAATTAATAAACAGAAACATTCCAAAAATAAGCAGTCCTAAAAAAAAGCAAATGAATAAAACAAAAAATCACCACTACCACAATGTGGCCATGATTTTTTTTCTGAGACACTTTTTGCGAAATTCCCCACACCAGCCTTGAACTTGGAGCCCTCCTGCCTCAGTCTCCTGGGTGTGGGGATTACAGCTGTGTACCACCACACTTAGTCCTTAGTTCATCTGACTGTATTTCCTAATCATTGTGGAGTATTCATGGATAGATTGCAACCAGGAGTGGTTGGTTCTACTTAGATGAAAGATAAGCCATCAATTTTAGATCATTTATTCTTTTTAATTAAACACATAATCTTTTTCTAAGTGTTAATCATCTTAACATGATTTTGCCAATTGTCCCCATGGAGTGCTGCAGTGAGTATTTTTAATTACTATTTTCATTTGACTACTGATCCGTAAGACTAGGCTTAATATTTTAGAAGACTTATTTTTGTTTCCTCTCGCTCCTCCTGCCTCAGTCTCCCGAGTGCTGGGGTTATGATGGGATGTGCCTGGTGGGTTTATTTTTGCTTTCTAATGCTGCTGTTACAGAGGAGTGGAAGACACCAGACATCAGTTTGAGTCTGTGCCTCCTGATTGGATCTGGGCGGGGAGATGCAATCTGTGGTCCCTGCGTCCCTGAGTTGATTTCTGCCTCCTGTCCAGGTTACACGCTCCAGGGCTCAGGGGCGGCAGAAGCAGCCAGAAATGATCTAAGAATTCTTCTGCATCTGCTCCAGCCACAGCAGAGTCCCTCAGTGCCTCAGACACACATGCCAGCCACAGGGCACGAGGCATCCAGGGCTGATTTGTATTTTTTTTTTTTTTGAGAGAGGGTCTCCCTGTGTAGTTCAGGCTGGTCTTGAGCTCATTACGAAGCTCAGCTTGGCCTCAAACTCAGGAATCTTCCTGCCTCACCTTCCCAAGTGCTGGGAAGATGTGACTTACTACACTTGGCCTTTTTTTAAAGGATTTCATTAAAGTCAGAAATTCTCAAATTGTATGATTATATACTCGATTAGAAATCTGAGATCATTGACATGATGAATCTTGTCTGTAGCGTCTGCCTGATGAATTTAAAAGAAGCAGAGAGGTCATTCGGGGATAATCTTCATTCTCAAGGTTCATTCCAGTTTGGATGGTACTAATTTTAAGTCAGCCTTTACTAATGGATACTAAAAATAGAATATACAAAACACCTAGAACAACTATTATACCTTTAAAAAATCTCCTGGTTGCTACAGCTTTATTGCACTATATTTACTTCTCAGCTGACATTTTGAGTCCTGCACTCTCAGCTTATAACTGCAACTATTGTTCTAGGTTTAATATTTTAACATGGTCTAAGGTGACAGGGTAATAGAGACAGATGGTTATTAAGGGAAAATGGCAAGATGTTTCCTTTTAGCTTTAGAAAATGACTTAAGCAGAATCCAATTCTTTCTCTTTTTTTCTCAACTGTCCCTTTTTAAAAAAATCAAAAACAACATTAGTACATGCTTACAGTGCATAAACGTTACCAACTCTCTCTTCATGGACACCATGATCTGAGGGTTTTTGGTTAAAAAACATCCTTCAAAAAGTCTTTCTCCAGAGTCTTCCCCTTTCTCTGGTTTGCAGTATAAATTAAGCACAATTAGAATCAATTTTCTTATCTCTGTGTGGTATTGTTTTTCATCAATTTGCTTCCTTTGATGTCTGGTCGTAGATGGTATTAGGTCCTCTGTCACCATCGATATAGGAGATGCTGAAATCACAGTTTAGGGTTCCTCATCCAAGAGTTGTTTGTCATTGAACACCTTGCCCACATTCTTTTTGATCCTGTTTCTTAGTTTCTGATGAAGCTACTAGAAAATGGCCAAATAATAGAGAAATATTTAGATATTGTTGATAGTCATATTTCAGATCTCTCTCTTTCAAGTTAAGGAATCCTAACTCTTGTGTAAGAAAGCTACAAATGGAACTAAATTATGCTGAGCAAAAATACATTTCTTTTACTGAGAATTTCCCAGGAGTTTTGATATTTTTGACTCTTGCTCACTAAATATGGAAAAGATTGAGACACTACGAGAAGCTGGGGAGCTATTCTGCTGTTTTTAGACCTTCTTTCGAGAAGTTGCTCCATCCCTTTCATGCTATGCTGGAAATGTATTTGAAGTCCCCTCCCTGTTGAAATGTCACAGTCCTCTGAATGCCATGTTTCTGGAGATGCTCTGTAACCTGCCATTTTCATATAAAAAGGAAACTGCAAATTACAGTTTTATATTTTCTATTGGTCTGAATGTTGTCCAACATATAGAAATAGACATTTCATAATATTTTTCTTTTTGAAAGAGTCAAAACCCCTTTGGGTTAATCCTCTTTTCCTCCCCCACCTTTTGGAGGCAGGGTCTAACTATGTGTTCTAGGCTAGCCTTGAACTCATTCTGTAGCCCAGGCTGGCCTCAAACTCACCAATTCCTCTTGTCCCAGCCTCCTGAGTGCTGGGCTTACAAGTGTATAGTGCCACGCTTCTGGTCCCACTGAATGCAGGTTCACAGGCATCCACCTTCCATGTACTGACAGTGGAACTCTGGTGGAAGGGAGTCAGTCATGTGCAAGGGCAAGGCGGGTATGTGTACTTATGCATGGGTAGGATGCTTATGAAAGAATGGATGTAATCAGGAGCTTCAGTTAATGAAGATTATTTTAAGGGCATGATAGTAGAAGGTGGGTAGAGGTGAAGTAATCTGAGCACCAGAGGTCTCAGCTTTGCTGAAGATGAGTGTGTTGTTCTGTGGTTGGTGTTCAGCATTCATCAAGAGTTTCACTATTTTGACCGCAGTGGTGTTGATCCGAGAGCAACTTGGTAACGGGCAGCACTTCCAACCATTCTGCATCTTTCCCTGGTGCCACGTAACTGATCACTGTCCCTTGTTGTGCATGCAAACCAGCAGTTAGACCTAGAGGTTCGGTCCGGTTCTTTTTTCATTGTTGAGACTTCCACATTGGTGTTATTATCTATCTATTTTTCCTTCCTGCAGCAGCCA